AGACACACTGCCCAGACAGGGAAAGGCTACTCCTTTCCAGGTTCCCTGGCATGATAGGCATGTGTGTACGTGTGCTCCTCCACCTCCACATCAGGTATGCCAAAGGCTGGGAGTAAAATTCCCTGGTGGTTGAACCCCTGTCAGGTGCAGGAAGGACCAATATCAGGTGCCGTTTGCGTTTTTAGCCCCTTCCTTAACTTTTTGTCTCAAGGGACTGACCCAGGAAATGATGCTGAAACTTTCAGGTTTTGTAGGCACATTATCCATGGGTTCATCTGCTCCTCAGTCTTTTGTGTTAATACACAGAGTTCTCTTCCCAGCACTGTGGAGCTTTGGGAGCTGTCTGGGTAGCTCTGCCCACCGAGGCCACATGAGTGCTGCTTGTAGCAACCCACATTTATAATCAAGCTGACAGACTCTGGCTGCAGCAAGTGGCTTGTCTGGGCATCTCACCCAGCATCCTCCCTCCCCTGGGCCTGGCTCCAGGCTGCTGGGCTGCCCTGAGCCTGGTTGGCATAGACATGCCCTGCTTAGGCGGCCACGCTGTGATGAAATGATTTATTTCGTAAATAAGCAGTGATGTTCCTGGCAGTGCAGTGCATCCTTGCATGCTCTGGTTTTTCCACCTTTGCTATGCCCATGTCTCTAAAAATCTGTCTGCAGTTAGGATGTGTTATGTCACACCTTGACGTGGCCTTTTAAGGGACAGCTTTGCTACCTGTTGTTTGACTTCTGCAAGTATTCTTGACCTGAGGAGTGGGTCTTTGCCTTCCCAGAGCCTTTGTCTGTATGAGTTTTGGTTTGATGTGGCAGTGTACTGGGAAGGATGCTCTGCTTCACCTGTCATCCAAAAATAGCCTCTCATCAGCTGCAGGTCTCTGACTTTTCTTCCCATCAAAGAACTCTTGTCCCTTTGTTCCAGAACCGGGGTCTCTGTTCTCCGTAGCAAACCTCAGATTCTTGCTTGTACCTGGGAGACAGGGTCATGGCAGGAGGCACACTCAGCTCCCAACCTGCCTGTAAACTTGGGGACTTGCTCTTTGCACAGGCTGATGTCATCATGGGATTCACTTTATTGTCTTTTCCTGACTTTGTCCAGGTGGAAGAGATTTCCAAGAGTGTGTACATCTGGTACCTGTGTGCTGGCAAACACAGCTGGCTCCTGGCATTCGGTTCAGGCTGTTGATGGGAAGTCCGCTGTAGCCTTGAGGACACAAGAAATCCTCTTTTTCTAGCTTAGTTTAGAAGTATCATCCAGGTGCCCTGGTGTAAAGGTGCTGTGTGTAAAGCCAGACCCCTGGAGCTGGTGTTGGAGCCACAGCTTTCCCCAGAGGGGGGTCCTGCAGGTCAGAGGAGCATTCGCAGAGCATGTGGCTCCAGTGGTTCAGAGGCTGCCTAGAAGGAGGATGGCTCTTTGGCTGTGGGGCACAAACAGTGGCCTCAGCACAGTTACACCTTTGCTCCCTGCAGTTCCACAGAGCTTTGGTTCTGTCAGGCAGGGTGGGAAGGATACAGCAGTCACCCCAGTGGGCTCATGCCAGGAGTAGCCGGTGTCTGTGGTCACAACTGCAGGACGTGCTGGAGTGTGACTGTGCAGCAGCAGTGCTCAAGCTCAGCTGTTCCTGAGCAAACCCCTCTGTTCCACAGCTTTGGGCTGCCTGGTTCACCTCACGTTCAGAAGTGAAGTGATTTATCTGGGAGATTCTGGTTTCCTAGATAAAAAAGGAAGTGAGCGCGACTGGACTTGTGGTCCAGAAGAGGAATCCTCCAGATGGTAAAGCTGTATTTCCAGTGGAGGCTGAAATTAGAGTTGGCAGGGTTGCAAGATGTATTCCTATTCCTGCAGTGCCCACCCAACCAGGAAAGGCAAAGCTGTGTCCCTAGGAATGGTGGTTGTGTTGGAGCTGGAGCCTTCCTCTCCAGCTGCCTGCACAGCTGGACAGGCTGGGTTCATGTTAGAGCCCTGGAGCCACAGTCACTCCAGGGTCACTGATGATGCCCAGCCCATGTTTGCTGCTTCCTGTCCTTGTTCTGTACAGCTGGCTGCTATCTGAGCACTTCCCTGGGTTTGCTTAAAAGCAGTGGGGCAGTAGTTCCCATGGATTTATGGGGAATAAGGATTCAGTGCACGATGATCTGTGCTTTGGTGCTCTGTCCCCAGCACCGTGCTGGCCACTGCTCCCAAAGCTGCTCTCCCCTTGGCTTTGGCAAAGAGAGAATACTTGCTGAATACAGGGCACAAACCTGGGCTAAGGGAGCTGCTGGTGTGCACTGCAGGACATCCTGCTGTCTTGGAGGGGAAGGCAGTGCCAGGAGAGCAGTGTTGTGCCAGAAATGATTGGTGCTGGTTCCTGTGACACCTGCTCAGGTGTGGGAGCAGCACTTTGCTCCTTGCTGCTCCCTGGGATGCAGGAGCACGTGTGCTGGCTGGACTGATCACTGTTTCTCTGTTCTGGGTGTGAATCTCTGTGTGCTGAGGGTCAGCTATGGAAAAAAAAGGGAGTGGGAAGGAGGGAGGATTTTGAATACTGCTTAAATGCAAAACCCATCTGTAATCCATTCATTTACAAACCTTTTTTTTCCAGTGCCATAAAGTGCAGAGTTAACAGATTTAAGGAGGGAAAGCTTCAAATGAGTGGGGAGCTTTGGAGAACTTGTGATGAGAATAGGAAAGACACCTACGGCTCTTAAACTTGCCACTGGTGTTCCCAGAGGCTGGAACGTTCCAGCTGCTTTGTGGAGCTGTGGTCAGATGAAAACATTCCTGGTGAGAGGTCCAGGTTGTGTCCTGTGTACTCTTCCACAGAACCTGTATGCAACACCCTGGTGCCTCTGTGAGTGTCTGTGCTGCCTCGTGAGGGGACAGGCTGCCAGGTGTGTTCCTGGGACAGGCTGCTGGTGCTCTGAGTGGGAGGAGAACACCGTGTTCAGACAGGGTGCCCGGTGCTGCTGCCTGCTTGTGCTGGCATTGCCGGGAGGTGTTCCTGGAATTCTCACTGGCAGCGTACGAACCATTCGCAGGTGAAAGAAGGGATGGGTTTGAATTAAAAATCCTTTTTGGCAGCTCTTGGAGTGCCCCAGCAGATGGGAGGCCTCAAACTGGAGAGTCTCAGACACAGCAATGCGTCAGTGGAGCACAGTGGGAGCTGTGTGGGGGGCAGTGCAGATTTCCCACTTGTGCCTCCTCCAGGCACTGGTGATGTGTGTGTCTCCTGTCTGCACCACACCTGACCTGGGACTCATTCAGTGTGTCACTGTGTCTGCTCAGAGTCTGCCCTCCGTTCCAGGACTCTTACTGGGTGTTAGCCCTGCTGTGGCATCACATGGCCAGGTGTGTGAGTGTGAGTTCTGCTGCCAAGATCCACGGCCAGGAGAAGCTGCTGGGTTGTAGGTGCTGAAAGGGTGGGGTGGGGGTTGCTAAGGGACTGTGGGACACTCACAGGAAGAACAGAATTTCCAGCTTCTTGGCCTCAGAATCAGCCCTAATCTTCTGCTTGGTCAGAGGTGCCTTGTCTCTCCTGCCCGGTCTGGTTCTTAGGTAGAAACCCTGATGTTCCTTAGGTAAATTTCTTTTGAGGAGGTGGCTGGAGGCAGGGCCCGGTGCTCAGTCCTGTCCCTGTGTGCCCTGACTCTGACCCAGCTGTCTCTATGGATGTAAGTGCTTTGCTGTTCATCAACTCATTGACTTTATCTCGTTTTACTTCCCGCTCACGGGCTGCTCTGTTACAACAGTCTTTCATAGGATATTTGCTAATGGTGAGCAAACTTCTCCGCTCCTGTGATGTGACTCCACTTTTGTCATGTACATGATTTTATCCGTGTGTGTATCTGTATATATATATTTATATATATATAAGTGTGTGCATATCTATATCTGTAACACACAAACATACACACTGACCTATTTACAGTGTTCCCTTGCTATAAGGCTGTACGTAAAACTGTTTGGCTTAGGTGCATCCTGCTTGGAGAGCTCATGTTCTGTGCTGGGATGCAAACCGTTCCCGTGCTCTTGGCCAGAGCCTTACAGAGAGGGAGCACTGCCCTTTGTGAAGTCTCCTGGTTTGGTTAGTTCTCTTCCTCCCCATGTTCTTAGCTGTGCTAGCCCACGGGCCCTGTGCATGCCGGCTCCCGCATGTCAACAAGCCGTGCCTTGTCCTGAGCTCTTCCCAGCTGAACTTCCCACCTCCATTAGGCTCTTCCCTGCTGCTGCTCTGCTGGCCTGGGCTGGTCCCCAGCCCTGGACTAGCCCCGCTGTATGCTTGGCTATCCAACTGCTTGCTTGTAGTTTGAACTCTTTAGATGTGTTGGTTTTAAGATGAATGTTTTAGTGAATGTGTCTGGCTCCTGGTGGCCAGAGCCCTCCCACCCCAGACGAGTCCCTGGGTTGAAGTAAGCTTGGCTATTGATGTTATCCCAGATAAAGCTCTGGTTTTGGGAAGATACGTGCATATGAGGAGGGAATTGGGCTGGTGGGGGCCAGAGAAGGATTCGAGTGCTGCAATTTGTACCCTTATTGCATAGAATACCATGTTTACATGTAAAATAATTATTTTATTTTTGCCATCAGGGTTGTTCTCAATGTTAAGAGTTTGTTTCTACTGAGTTGGGAACCACCAACCATCAGCTGGAAGCATTGGAAAGGGAAGGGCCTGACGGGATGGGCTCTGTGCCTTCCACACGTTGGCAGGAGGACGTGGCGTGCCACTCTGCATCCTCAGCAGAGCAGGGGCTCCCAGAAAGCTGAACCTGGGATCTGCTGTGGCTGAGGGGGATGGTGATGTGGTCAGGGCTTGAGTCCTGAGGAGGGCAGGTGTTCCTGGGCATCCTGCAGGCTGGGCAGGATGGCAGAATGGCAGTGGGCAGACTGATCTGGGAACGAGCCCGTGGAGTGGGAATGTGACTGGGCCTGGGTTCAGTCATGCTGAGGGCAGCAAGGCTTAGGGCTGGTAGCCATTTCTCCGAAATCAAGCCACCTCTGAGAGCAGAACCAGAGGCCCTGGTTCTTGCAGGGCAGGAGGAACCTGAGCCAGCGCTCTGCAGGTGCAGGGAGATGCTGTGGTACCTCCCCTGAGCTGGCCTTGGAACACTGAGCATCAGATGGCCTTAGAACACTGACCTTTCCTGGCTGGTTCCTTGTGAGCTTGTTCTAACTGTTGTACCACAAAGTACTGTTGATATGAGAGCTGGGAATTGTTTAAGCCTTAGACATTGAACAGTGATTTAGGTTTGAAAACACTGAGGCTCCTGTTTCACTTGAGCATTGAGCTCATGAGGCTGTGAGTGACATGCTTTCACAACTGAGCTTATTTCAGTTATCACTTCACTCCCTTGGATTTTCTTGCCTGATATTTAAAGACTTGTCATGCTGGTTTCCACATCCTTAACAGACACCTGAGGCACTTAGGTAATGTAGAAATAAGAGGTTACTGGGATATCTTGGATCTGGCCTTTTTATTTTTTCAGCTATGGGAAGTGCGGTTTAGAGAAAAAAATAATGGATAATTGGAACCATCAGACATAGAAAAATCTGTCATAAAAGTGGAAAATTCTTTCACTCATGATGGCATTGATTTAGTAAGATTTAACATGAATTGATGTAGTTTAGCTTCTTGCTGTACAGTTTTCTGTGTGAGTCAAGCATGTCTCTACCAAGCCAAACATTTTCAGTTCCTTAGAAACTTGACAAACTAAGGCAGTTCCCAAGATTTGTCTGTGACTATAGGTGCTGCTGGGAATGAGACTGGGCAGGTAAATAGTTTTGAGTGGAACTTTTTTGCCCAGAATGCTTCAGAAAGTCCAAAGTGGGATCCAGGTTACTTTGGGGGGGGGCATTCTCTTATTTAAAGGCTTTGTCTGCCGTGGGTCTGTGTTGTCTTTGAGGCTCAGTGGTGTAAAAGCCTCTCACCAAGTGGAGATGCTTCTCATTTGTGTTGTTCTTGGGAAACTGTTGAACAAACTGGGTGGAATAGAATGAGGTTGATTTCAATTGTGATGGACGGGCATCTCCTGCTGTAGCTGCTGCTGTGATTACTGGAGTGGCAGAAACAGCTCCAGAGACCTGCCCTGGGTTTGTGTGTAAGCCCAGAGCTCAGGGCAGGAGGAGCAGCCGTGGGTAAGTGACAGCCTGCAGGTTCTGTCCGTGGTTTGTGCTGGAAGTTACAGTGACTGCGTGTGCTCTGATTCAGTGTGTGTTTGAGGGAGTGATGGGGTTTTAAAGTCAGATTTAGTGGTAAGAATTGGTGGCCTTGTTGCAAAGATGTTCCTCCTACTATGCTGTGATGGTAATAAACTCATTTTTATTTTGCAGAAGGTTTAAGAGCTGGCTCTTGCTCTGTGTACTTACCACCTTTGCTCAGTGTACCCTCTGTGTGCTGCTGTGAGTCATCTCACTCATGAAAACACCAGAAACTATGATCTTCTAGGCTGGTTGTAATTTTCAGTTAAACAGGATGTTTTAAAAGTTTTAAATGTGTCAGTTTAGTGCTCCAGGCTGTGGAACATCCCTGAGGTCAGTGTTATTTTTATGTTGCATTCAAGGCGCTGCTGCCTCAGCTTTGCTGGGCTCTGTTTTTTCTCTGCCTTTATGTGGCTTTCCTTATGGGTCAGGAGACATGGATTGTAGTCATCCAGGTCTTCATTCACCCATTTTGGTATTAGAACAGCAGTTGCAGGTGTCTGCTCCTTTTGGAGCCCTTGGATTGAAGGCTTTGGGAACCTCAGCAGTTTAGGAGGCTTCTTTGTGCCAGTTCTGGAAAGATCACTTTGAACACCAACTGAGCAAAGGTGGCCTGTGGTGGCTGACCCTGCCTGAGCAGGGGGTTCTCAAGAGGTCCCTCCCAACCAGGGCAGGTTTGTGATTTAGCCCAAGCAGTGTTTGCTCTCTGGCTCCTGCGTCCAGGGATAAGCTTTGCTGTGGGTTAAGTCTCCCAAGGTCCCTCTGGCGTGTTGTGGAACAACAGTAATCACAGATGTGGAGTTTGAAATTTGGGAAAGTTGAACTGGAAATTCTAGAACTCGTGGGCTGTAATTGCATTTTAGTGGAATGTCATTTATACTGGTTTAGTCCCCATTTCTGGGGGAGCAGAGCTGCTCACAACAGAAGATCATTTTCAGAGTCATGTTTCTGAGGACTTTGTTTTACAGTGTATATCTGTGTTCTGGGAGTAGAGGAATCCAGAGTAGCTCAGTCTGTAGCATTTCAGTGAATGTCTGTTCTTGTTTTTCTGATTGGGTGTAATTCTTGCACCGTGATGTGAAGATTTTTATCTTTTTGATATCAATACTGCGTTGCAGTCAGATGGTGCAGCCCAAGCAAGGGTTTGAATGGTCAGTGGGACTTTCATTCCTCTGGTCTAGAACATGGAACTTGGTTTTGGGTGCACATTTCAGATCTCCAGATCTACTTTGGGATGAAGTTGTTTGTGTTGTGAACTCTTCCAGATAAAATGCCAATAAGCTCCTAAGTCCCTGCTTAAGAGCCTGCACGCAGCCAGGATTGACAGGTACTAATCCTACAGCTCCTCTTTATCTGTTCTTATGTTTCCTGCTCTGCCTACTTCCCCTCTCTGCTTCCATTTAATGGATGTGGTCAAACGGGTCAGGTTAAACCTCTGAGTGCTCTTTTACTTGAATATAAAAATACCACCCACTGCTTCAGGAGAAATGGCACAGTGTGACCATGTCCCCTGTGGCACAGCCACGCAGGTGAATGTGCCTTGGCCCCAGTGGTGGCTGATGATGCCCTGGGCTGTGTTAGGTGCTCCCAGGGGTGCCCAGGGACAGGACCAGAGGCCACAGCACGGGCTGGAGCCCAGAGGGTCCTTCTGGACCCGGGACACCCCCCTCAGTGCGGTGGTGGCCCAAGGCAGTGATGGAGTCTCCAGCCTTGGATCTACCCAAAAGCTATCTAGACATGGTCCTCAGCAACCAGCTCTGGGTGTCCCTGCTGGAACAGGGAGGTTGGACAAGGTGACCTCCACAGATCCCTTCCCACGTGAGCCATGCCATGGTTTTATGATTCTGTATTAATTTCTGTGGAGAGGTTTTTGTGTGACATCAGCTTTCTGTTGCCAGTACCACTGGTTCTGCCCCAGCAGTGTTTTCTCTGGGGTGAGCCATGGGCAGTGTTTAGTTGGTTATCCTGCTGGGAAGCAGTGTCAGTGGATGTGGCAGGGGTGAACATGTGTGTAAGCAGCTTAGGGGGCTTCACCTGGCTCTGGAAACAGTGTGTAGTGAGCTTTCCACGTGCTGTACCTCTTTGCCCTTTCAGCTCATGATATTCAACTGTTGCTTCTGGTGACTCAGTGTTGCAAGTATTTTGCAATCCCTGATAACAGATCTGAGGGTTGTAGCGTGCTTGTATTCTGTGATCAGCTTAAATCTGATACTGCTTTTCCTGTTGGACTCTGTCTGATCGCTGCATGCTTCATTTTATTTGAAATAGCTTCCTAGTTCCTTATTTTCTAGGCCTTGCCCTCCCTAACAAAAAAGCTTTTGTCGTTGTGTGCAGAGGAAGCGAGCTGTGAAATGTCATGGGGTTGTGCAGTCTTGTACCCTTTTGCAGGGGTGAAAGTGTCTCGAGCGTATGAGTGCAGGGGGTAATAATGTGGCCTTGTGCCTCTCCTGGCCTTGTGGCCACCCCTTTGTAGCAGCAAAGAGATGTTCTTGGGCTCGTTTGATAATTTTGGGGTGCCTGTGGTGCTAGTGCAGTGGTTAATCGTACCAGTGCTGGATTGCACAGCCAGCCTGGGACAATCTTAGAGGTCACTTGTTGATCCTTCTTGCTGTTACCTGGTTTCCCTGTGCTTTCTGAGCCTGCTGAGATCTGTTGGATTGGGCACTGAGCCCTTTGCTGAGGAGGGGAGTCGTGTTGTGCTTTAAAGCTCACTCACACGCTTGCAGGAGCCCGGGCAGCTCAGTGATTGCTGCAGGAGGAGAGGCAGAGCCCTGGGGGGGACTGTGGGGAGAACTGAGGCACAGGCTGCCTTTCCTGCCTTCAGGGAGGAAGTGCTGAATGCAGAACAAAGGCGGGGGTGAGTTGGACACCACCCAAGAGGGAAGTGTCCTCTGCAGCGTGGGGTGTTCCGGGGGCTGTGATCCCCAGGCACTCTGCTAAACCTGCTGTGGGGACAGCTGGGAAGGGATGCCACCACTGCATCCTTGGCTGGCACTGCTGACAACCGATGGTTGCTCTGACGAGCCATCCACTTACCCTGGCCAGTTCTGCATGTCCTTGAGGGTTTGAGAAGTCTGACCAGCTCCCCATGTTCCTGGAGGAATGCTGATTATCTCTCTTTATGCTTCTGTTGTCAGATTGAGTTCAGCTTACCAAAGACAGGTTGCTTGTCCTACCTTCTGCTGTGCTCTTCCTATCACCTGCCCTGCACAGACACTGTATTTGGCTGCACCTTCTTCTAAAATTCATCTTTGCTGATTCCCTGCCAGGCTGGTCAGTCCCAAGGGGGTGTGTCTTGCAGTCTGCCCCTTGTTGTCACCTTCTTGTGGCTGAGAAAGACATGTTTGTTGTGAATGTTGGTGATATGGCTTTCCTTTGTGACCTTCATTGTTTGTCTTGTTTGATATAACCAACCTCAGCCTTGGTCCCTCCGATCTCTCCCAGCGTGGACCAGCAGCCCTGTGTGAGTCAGGCAGGAGAGCTCGTGTCAAAGGTCCCTCTGGGTGTGTGTTCTTACCTTGTACAGTCAGGAGCTTGGTTTAGAATGTAGGCTTAGGTGAAGCTCTAAAGCCCTGTCAGTGCCAAGTGGCCTGTGCACCAAGGTGATGGACCTGCAATAGCACAGTGACCAGACCCAAAGTTTCTTGTCCCAGCATCTAAAATCCTGTCACAGGTTAAGCAGCCCCTGTGCCTGCCGTGTTGAACACCCCTGCAGGGAGCTTTTCAGAGCTGGCCTCAGAAGCAGGTTGTGCTGTCAGTGACACGGAGCAGGGCTGTCCGAGGCACACAGGAGGTTCTGGGGGTCTCATGCCATGGCTCTGCTCCTGCCCTGCCTCAGCTCTGCAATAACAGAGCAAGGTGATGCCTGTCACTTCAGTCAAGCTGCACGTGAGCTGGGATATAAACATCTGGAACAGGCAGATTCCTTGCCAAGTGTGGCTGATCAAACCCAGCTGCAGAGCCAATCTCGGCAAGGGTGATGGAGAAACACTCCAGTGGGAATCAGCAAGTTGGGAGGCACAAGGACCAGACTACCAGAGGTGACAGGTCCCTGGCTGACCCACAGCAGCAAATTCAGCTACCTGTCTGTGTGTCCAGGTTGGAGATTCCTACAGACAGTGTGAGCCTGGCTCTTTCCAGAGATGCTGATGCCACTGCAGAAGGTCTGTAGGACCTGGCTGCAGAGGAGCTTGTTATCAAGTCCTTAATGAGGCCCAGCCAGCCATTATAGATGGAGGCTGCTGGGCTTCCACTCTACCTGCCTGTCTGGTATGGGAGTGTCTCGGTTACCACACCATCACTGCTGAGGTTTCTATTGATAATCTGCTCTGTGACTGATTACTGCCTCATCCTTCTCCCTAAATGGGCTCAGGAGCCAAGAACAGAGTGGCTGGATAGGGGACTGGCCCTTGCCATCCAACACATGTTTGTAACAGGATTTAAAGACCCACTGAAAAATGAAACTGATCCCAACATCGCATGGAAGGGGACTTTATCCTTGGCTGCTTCTGCTCCACGTTTGGCAGGGTAGGGTTCTCAAGTTTTGGGTTTGTGTTTCCTCTTACAATCCATTGTACAGATAAGAAAGGCAGAACAAATAGAAGATTCAGAAAATAGATTATTTCCTCTCCCCAGACTGTGTGTTTCACCCCCCTGAGTTCCTCTGCCATGCCTGCAGGGATCACAAACACCTCTGTGACAGTTCCTGTACACTGCATCCTTGACAGAGACATCAGGGATTCCCATAAACAACAATATAAATCTGGTGTTAGAACAGAATGGTTTCTGAAGCCTTAAATACTCTCTTTAAAAGGCCTGGTATGAGAACCCAGTGTGCTGGACAAGCTGTGGGCACTTTGCTCCATGAACTAAAGGTGGTGCTGAACAGATGCATTGTGATGGGGTAGGGGCTGCCCCATAGAGGGGTTGGCTCCAGCAGCACAGGAGCACGTTACAGGACTGGACAAACTCCAGTTGTGACTTAGGAGTGTGAAATACAAAGCTGCACAGAAGTCCAGAGCTCATCATTTGGGAACTGAGGAGGATCAGGTGTTTGCTGGCCACTCGAGGGAGGGTTTTGAGCTACTTGCCATGTGGGGGGTGTTGAGATCCATTGGGGCAGAGTCCCCAGTAGAGATAACTGGTGTAGTTGTGCACGACCCTGGCCAGAGCTTGTCTAAAGCAGTCAGTGTCACTGGGAAAACAGATCAGGTCTTGGGAGAAAGACAGCTTATGCTGCTTGGGGATGTGAAGGTGAGAGGACCTGGTGGTGTCTGGGAACAGGTGAGCACTAGGAATGAAGTCATCTTGCTGGGCTCCCAGGATCGGAGCTGGCACAAGAACAAAAAGCAGTAAGCTACTTGGGAAGTGTTGGTTGGGAAAGAAGCAGCTGGCTACTGGAGCAAGCTCTGCTTCCAGCTCAAATCAGATACAATGATTTGTATGAGCCATGCAGCGAGGCAGAGCTGAGTTACTGAGGGTGGTCCTTCTTGTCTGACTACAGCCCAAAGAACATCTTTCCTCTGAGGCTGGAAACTAGTCTGGTCTCATTCAGCTGGGAATCCTCTTTGGTGTGGAACAATACAAGCAGTTTGGCATGTCCTGGGTGAGCCCACATTGTACCAGTACAGACCAGGAGGGTGACCAGGTGGGAGATGGGCCTGAAACTGTGGGACTGGGCACATTCCAGTGTGACAGTAGAGCTTCAAATGGGTGATGGCTCTGTGCTCCCTGCCCACCTCAGTGTTTCTCCCTGGCAGAGACAGCTGCTTAGTTTTAGAGGGCTGCTTGCAATCTCTGCAGAGGTCGCTGTCAGAAAGGCTTATCTTTCATGGGGGTCCATACTTGTGCTCTGCTTACTATTCTTGTGGCTGCAAGTTATTCCCTCCCCACAGCTCTGAGTGGTTTGTGGAGGTGCTGGCTGCAGGGAGGCCTCTGATGGTCACCTCCCTCCACTTCAGCAGCTTGGCTTAACTCTTGTCTGAAGGCACTCTGGCACCAGTGTCTTTCTGATAAGTGTAAGAGTTGCCTGGTATATCCATCCTCCCAAAACCCTGAGGTGGTGACTGATAACAGTGACTTTGGCATCTCTGGATGTTCCTCGGGCTGCTGTTCTGGATGAGCTGCTCGTGACAAATGTTATAGATCTGACTGAAGTTTGGCACTTCAACTGAGAGTCGTTCCCAGCTTGTCTTCTCACGAGGCAGCAGCTGTGGTCTCCAGGTTTGCCCTTGGAGGGTGATGCCCAGGAGTGTATTGGGGCAGGTGACTGGAGAGGAGGGCTGTGAACACCCACCTTAACTCCACCATCCTGCCCCTTGGGGCACCAACATCCCTGGAGTTGCAGGTGTTCCCTGGGGTCTCCTCAGGGATGGGCTATAGTTTCCTGTATCCTAAGCATTCCTGACTTTCTTCCAGTGGCACCGGACACAATTAACAACCACGTGAAGACCTGTCGTGAGGAGCAGAAGAACCTGCACTTCTTTGCCCCGGAATACGGAGGTACGGCACGGCTGCGGCCCAAAGCCTGGCTTTGTTGGCTTTACTGATGCTTCCAGGCTGTTCTGCACCTTGTTCTCAGCTCTGGGCTCCTGTCAGGTGTCACATTGACAGTTCTGAGCCATTTGCCTGCTGAAGTGCTTCAGCTCCTCTGTCCTTTGGTAGCAGAGCAGGGAGAAGCTGCAGGACTGTCCCAGTGCAGGGTGAGTGATAACAGTGCTGTTTCTGTGTTACAGAAGTTGCCAACGTCACCACTGCTGTGGACATCTACTCCTTTGGGATGTGTGCACTGGAGGTGAGTGTGGAGCGTGGGCTGTGGGACAGAGAGGATAAATCTGAGGAAGGAGGTGGCTCTGGAGAAGCTGTGGCCATGGGTGGGTTACCTTGGTGACAAGTGTGTTTTGTTCTCAGAGCCAAGTGCACTTTGCCTTGGAGGGATCCCTGTGGAGGCTCCCCTGAGTGCCTCACTAAGAAGTAAATGGCTCAGTGAGGTGTAATTCTTCCCGAAATTCCTAACGGGTAATGAATATGGGTCTTGACCAGTCCTGAGGTCTGACCCACTGGCTGGTGGGAACAGTCACTGCTGCCAGTTGTACATAATGTCCATGTACACTCCCAGCTGGGAAGTGTGTGTCCCTCCTGGGTGTCTGGAGCAGAGGGCAGCTGTAGTCCATGACTTTTTCTGGGCCAGCCTGTGCCCATCTGATAGAGATGCTGGTTGTAGTCAGTGTGAGTCTACACACCTGGTTGTAGCAGCTTTTTGGTTCTCCATCCTTACAGTCAGTAGGCCCAAGTCCAGGAAATGGGAGTTGTTGCTAGGAATATTTTCTGGAAAGAATTGTCAGAAAGAGCCAACATGAAGAACTCTCAACCTGTGCTGCACATTTCATAAAGGAAGCAGGAAGAGAACTGTGGAAAGATGCAACTTTCAGGAAACAAAACTTGAGTCTAAAGACCTTCTCTGCAATATTTTCCAGCCTTTCCTAGCTGGGAATTCGTGTCTGTTGTCTGTACCCCATTCTGGATGCGTTGTGTGGTTGCTTTTGTTCTGTGATATGGAGTTGTTCACAAAGCCAGGAGGGATCCTGGCAGTAATCCAGCACTGCTTCATTAGAGGATGGAATTATCAAGTAGAATGACAGGCCAATGGATCATGAGGTTCAGGATGGGGGCACTTAGTGTCCAGGGTGCTGCTGGCAGAGTTCTGGGGTCTCCCTGGCAGTCTGTTGGGGTGCTAGGAGCAAGCTGTCAGAATGAGGAACTGCTCTCTCTGTCTCTCCCAACTGTGACCTTAAACAGCCCCGAACAGCTTGGCTGGGGTTATCTCACACTTGGCAGTGGTCTCCTTGAGCTCTCTTCCCTGCAGTCTGTCATTCCCAGTGGAGTCTGATGCTCTGCTCTGTGTCTGCAGATGGCGGTGCTGGAGATCCAGGGGAACGGGGAGTCATCCTACGTGCCGCAGGAGGCCATCAACAGTGCCATCCAGCTGCTGGAGGACCCCCTGCAGCGGGTGAGCAGGGGGGCTGGTGCCCTGCATTGCTTGCTGGCATTGCTTGTGGTCTCATGCCGTTTTTGTCTTTAGGAGTTCATTCAGAAGTGTCTAGAGCAGGACCCTGGCAGGCGCCCCACGGCCCGAGAGCTCCTGTTCCACCCGGCGCTGTTCGAGGTGCCATCGCTGAAGCTGTTGGCTGCTCACTGCATCATCGGGCACCAGCGTGAGTGCAGAGCCCTGGGAGCCACATCCCCTCACCAGTCTGTGTCCTGCAGAGCTTTGCCAAGCTGTCAGTGCAGCTGGCTTCCTGGGAACCCCCCTCCCTGCTGCTCTGCACGGGCAAGGACCTGGCTGTGGGATGCGGTGGTGTCCACTGCGGTGCCCAGCCTGCTCCAGGAGCATCAGAGAGCTCAAGACCTCTCTGCTTTTCATTACTTTTCCGAGTCTGGAAAGAAACTGCAATTGTTCTTTTTCTTTTTAAAAAAAAAATTAGATATGATTCCTGAAAACGCTTTAGAAGAAATGACCAAAAACCTCGACATGAACGCGGTGTTGGCAGAGATCAACCATGAGGACAGGGAAGGAGTCAAGATGATGTGAGTCCCTGTGGTGTGCTCTGGGGGCTGCTGGGGGCAGCAGTGCTGGGGCCCTGGGCTGAGTGCTGTGGGGTCTGACTGGGACTCTGCCCATCACTGCAGTGGTGTTTGTGGTGGTGTTTCACCACTGAGGGAGCCAATGGGAGCTGATGGAGCTGGAGGTGAAGGAGCAGTCGCTGCCTCTCTGGGCACACAGAATTCTGGGGAGACTTCTGGGTGGAAGGAGACCTTGCACCCGTGTCCTGGGAGCAGATTCCGTGCAGCTGAGATGTGAATCTTTTCCCAGGTGGAGGGGTGGGAAGTGAATATGCTGTAGTTGGAACAGTCCTCAGTGAAACGTGGCTGAATAGTTTGGGAAGGTGCTCAGACCAATCACAGCCTTGTCTGATGAAGTCCAACACCTTGGAGGAAGAGCTCCTCTGCATTTTCCTAAAGGAGCAGCCTATTCCACACTCTGCACAGGGAAAGGCAGTTTGGGCAGCTGTCAGTGACACACAGCACCACTGACACTGTAGGAATGGCTCCCTGAGGGAGTGACTGCAATGCATGTGGAGCAAGTAGAGTGCCAAAAAGTGATTTTAGATAACAAAGCCTTGGCCACTTGAGGGATTATCTGAAAAGACTAAGATGTGAGTGCTGTGTTCCCAGAGAAGCCCAGGATGCTTCCAGGGGAGCCCAGAGTTCTGAGATGCTCAAGCTGCTGAACAAGAGTAACCAAGGTGACAAGGAAGAACAGCTCTGTCTGTTTGAGCAGCTCTCTGAGCCATTCTAAAAACCCTCTCTGAGACCCTTCTAAAAACTGACCTTTCAGTTGTCATAGTGCTAGGAAATAATAGTATGGAACTCCCTTTGGAATGTTTTTGATAAAGGTTCAGAATGGAGGACAACAAGTGAAGAGCCAAAGCTGTGCAAGAGAGATCCTTCACATACATGGGATGTCAGTCTGTGTGGGTTTGGCTGTCTGCAGGCACCAGCCTGGGACTTGATTTTGGTAGTGCCATATCTCGGAGGTGCTGGAAAAGGGAAAGGAAGCGCAGCAATGACTTGAAATGTCAGAGAGCATCACTTTTGAGTGGTTCATCAGACTGCCATGCAACCCAAGCTGCCAGAAAGAAAATGTTGTTGAAAGCTACTGCTGTGTTAGAGGATGGGACAGTCCCAGCTGCTGGGGGTGTGGGAAGGGCTGGAGAGTGGTCAGGGAGCCAAGGCAGGTGTGCAGCCCACACCAGACCTGTGCATATCCTGTCAGGGTTTGAGCAGCTTTGCAGTCCTTGCCTCACCTCTGGAATGCTTCAGAGCAGCCTTGAGGCAGGGCTTTGGCTGTTCAAAGTGTTTGTTGCAACCAGGGGGGCTGTGTGGCAGGTGTCTGTGAAACACCTTGCCAGGAACAGTGTCATTGGGCCACCTTCCAAATAACTGTGCATTGGACAGCTCTGCAGGGAAGTGAGACTGCTCTGCCCTAACCCTTAGCTCCTCGGGGTAGTTGTGTCCTTCTGGTAGGATTGGAGCCTGTCCCATCTGTGGCTGCCTCTGTCCATCTCCATCCTGCCCAGGGACACAGCCCAGGACACGGGGATTTGGAACTGCATCCCAAGAGACCTGAGTGGATGTTATTGTGAGATAACTTCTCATCTCAGGACGTTTTGCTTTGTTTTCCAGCTTCTCACAATCTCCGGCGTTGGAGCTGGACAAGTTCCTGGAGGATGTGAGGTAAGAGGGTTTTTTTAAAGGGCACCTTTAGCTGTGTGTGAGACTGGAAAAATTTCGGAGAGCCATAACCTCAGACCCTGCTACTTTCCTGTAGGAATGGAATCTACCCCCTCACAGCTTTTGGGATGCCGCGGCCCCAGCAGCCTCAGCAGGTCGTGGTGAAATCCCCCATCGCTCCCCCGTCGGTGAAAACCCCAACTCCAGAGCCCGCCGAGGTGGAGACCCGCAAGGTGAGCGCAGGGGGCTCCGTTCCCCCGTCCCATCCCCGGGCAGGGGAGCCAGGCAGCCACTCACCACCTCTGTGCCTCTCTTCCAGGTGGTGCTGATGCAGTGCAACATCGAGTCCGTGGAGGAGGGGGTGAAGCACCATGTACGTTCCCACTTCTGGCTGAGCTGGGGGGGACCGGGGCAACTGTGCAGAGCTCATGGCTCTGATGTGCTGCTGGTGCCTGGGAGGACCCTGTGATGCTGCAGCTGCTGCTGCTGGGACCCAGAGCCCGACTCGGGCTGTGCCAGCCACTGACCCGTGACCTCAGCCCACCCCCAGGCCCAGGCTTCCTGTGTGGGATGGCGCTGCCAGCCGTGGTTCGGGACGAAACTGGCTGAGGCTGCTCTGTGAGACCCCCGTGGGGCTCTGGAGGGGTGGTTCCCATCCTGGGGGGCATTTCTGGGGATGCTTTGGGCTGGCCGTGGCAGCCTGCGGGACTGCAGTCCCTCATGAGAACTTCTGTGCCCCGCAGCTGACACTGCTGCTGAAACTGGAAGACAAGTTGAATCGACACTTGAGCTGTGACCTGCAGCCCAGTAAGTACCTTCCTCAGCCCAGTAAGTACCTTCCTCAGCC